CCCGTGACCCTGCAAATATCTAGTCAAAACCTAATGTAACAGTTTTAAAAGAAGTCAGGTTCCTAACTTCCTTAGAACTTGCTGAACTGTTTCTCTTTTGGTGGGAAGCATAGAACTACCCTGTCCTTTATTTTCTCATTTCCTGGTGATTATCAGACTTATGGCAGTAAGGAGCATTATTCATAATGATGATACAGGTGATTACACCTTTGTGCTGACTAAATTTATTTTCTGGAGCTTCTCGGACACTTTGAAGATTGAAATGCCTTTTTTCCCCTTTTGGGTTGGGGTTTTTTATGCTGACAATTCCTTATTGGAGACACTCCATATTTTCTAATTATTCTGATTCGTACTGACAACTATAACTTCTAATCATTGTTGTTTTCTAAAGCTTGGTTTCTTTTGTGTCTGTGTCTATGTACTTCCATTGTTGACTATGAATATTACATGTCTTTGAATAATTATGATTTTTCACATCATAACGAGGAATCTCTTAAATGAGCCATGCTCTTTGAATAGGGATAAAATATGTTGTTTTCAGTTCTTCACACTTTATGGGCCTTATTTTACTTATATGATAGCCTCTTTTCATATGCGTTGCAATTACCTTTTTTATTACATCTATTAGTGAGTATGCACCGGGTATGTTGTTGTTGTTGTTGTTGTTGTTGTTGTTGTTGTTGTTAGTGTGTATGCATCTAGAAAGCAAGCTGAAGAGCTAGATATAGAACCTTGGTGACATGTCTTGACTCAAGACTGTTAATTCTTGATTGTCGTACTCGTACTGGAGCCAATTTGCACAACTACTAAGAAGTCAAACTAGTGAACTCTCAAAGAAGTCACTCTATGCAACTTGGTACGTCAAGATAAAACTAAGTATGTGACAGTTATTCCTTGCATTGGTGAATACAACTTGGATTATGCCCAGTACTACTTGTGATCTTTTGAGGTGCTGGAACAATGTAGGTGGCTGGGGAAGGAAGAAGAGATGGTGGAGGGCTATACCAGCATGCATTTGGTGGAATGTCTGGAAGGAAAGATAAAACCAAGTATGTTGTGGCAGAAAGCTTACAAACTAGAAATAACAAGCAGCCCGAAATTAGTGGAAAGTTATTAGGAGACCTTTTAAAGAACTTCAATACTCTGGTAATTTTCAAAGTGCAAACTTAAAATCTGAAGGCGTGATCTGCTACTGCAATTTGATTAGGTCATGAAATTTTTGCAAGTGTTGCAACCGTAATGGTCATGAAATTTTTGCAAGTGTTGCAACCGTAATGTGTCACGCGGACAAAATAGCTGCAAGCTTTTCAACTAACATTGTTGTTGAGGGACTCGTTCCTAGAATGTTGTGGATAAGAGTTAGTATGAACAGTAATAGTTGCGCAGTGCTTATGCTTTCCTATTTGTAGAGAGAGAGAGGGTTCACATAGTATCGCTTATGTTGACTATCCCATTGAGGGTGTATATGACATATGGCTATTATGGGACATTTATTCCTCTAGAGACATAATGTTGATAGTTCTGAGCTAATAGCCTCCTCCACGGGTAATTCCACCATTGTTTTTGGCTAAAATTATTGGCTGAAGATCCTCAGATTTCTTTGAGGTTTGAAGTCCTTTCATTCCTTTTGGGTTAAACAATTGGACAGTCTTTAATGTCTTTGTAGAATAACAGTCAGCACGAAATAGCATTAGATGCCTGGGCAACAATTAAGTTGTTGGTTCAAATGAACCTTGATCCTAGCATAGGAATAATTTAATTTATGTTTTCTTAGAAGGAAAATTGAGTCAAACCAAACTGTTTAGTGTGAACACCTAGTTTGAAGTTGATTAATTTTTCTAACTTAAAAGAAGTGCTAACCAATTACTGTAATCTCTACTTTTTTGTATTTGTTTGCAATAACTATCTGTGCCCTTTAGCCAAATAATTATTATAATCTTCTCGTTGTTTATTTTCAGTTAATGTAATCTTCTATTATTCAAAAGTAGTAAAATGCATTTATTACTAAGTGAGAACACTTCATCACATCTCACTTTCTGGTTGGTTATAAATGTTGAAAGATTCATATCCTAACACGTGTTTAGTTTTTTCCAGATCGGTCAATCTCGTTCCTTTTTCTTTCTTAGATGCTAGAAATGGTTGTCCGTCTTATCAAATGATAATCTTTCATGTTATGTGTAAGGAGAATCACAAACCTGACGAATATGTGTGACCATCTCTAAAAGAAAGAATACAGTATTTCCCGGTGTTTAGATAAATTTTTGTCATTTCATACAAAAGAATGCTCTGTTTGTGAAAAAAATGTCATATCGCGTTCTTGAAAAAGACATTTGTCAAGCTTGTGATTTTCCTCTAATGGCATGGAAAATATTATCAACTGGTGAGTGGACCTCCATTCATGTGAGTTGGAAAACGGAACGGGTCATTGATCGGGTACTTCTCCGGCGCTGGAGCTGGAGCACTTTCACCGATTTTCAAGATTTCAGTGATGTTTTTGAGTCGGTGAAATTGGGTTTTTCCTTAGAACCCTAGATTGATTAACCCTTTGAGTGATTCTTATCCTGTTCCATGATTATTTCTTGTTTTTTTGTGTGGATGTGTGCAGATTTTGGAACCTTATTAACTGCTTCAATTTAGTTACCAAATCTTGAATCCTAAATTGCTTTTAGAAGAAGCTAGGAAGATTTTGATAATGTAATTTCTGGAAATTGTTCATTAATTTACTGTTATGATGTATGTATCTATAAATTCGAACTCTTAAAAGATTAATTTAGCTTACTAGAGCATCCACGAAACCATAGATGAAATTAGTTTGAATTATTTTACCGACTAGTAAGATCTGTTGCAGGAAAAGGAAGTGTTTCTAAAGCTCTATGATAGGATTGCTTAGTATATGATTGCATATTCATCTATGATAAAATTGACCTGCTACTGACCTGTTATTTTTGAGCTTATGTTTTTTAGCATGTTTATGTCAGCATTATCCTTTTCTTTTTTTAGTTGCTTGACCTGCTACTNTGATTTCATACTCATCTTTGATAAAATCGTCTTGTTACTGACCTGCTATTTTTGAGCTTCTGTTTCTTAACATGTTATGTCAGTATTATCCTATTCTGTTTTTTGTTACTTGGCAGACTTTGGGTTTCCTTCAACACTTCCACATACGGATGGCAAGGAGTTCCTTCTGAAACGAGAACCCGTCCAAATGTAAAACCTGTCTGGATACGCCCTGCTATTCTAGATTCATTAATGTTTGAGGAGAAGCAGCCACTTTGGAATTATCTTTGGTATATCTAAGTAATAGATTGCATGCCTGCTATTCTAGATTCATTAATGTTTGAGGAGAAGCAGCCGCTTTGGAATTATCTTTGGTATATCTAAGTAATAGATTGCATGCTGATGATACATCTGAAGTTTGAACAAAGTGGAGAATGGAGACTCGTAATCCTGAAGTGTTATCGGGTTTTGGTGCACAAGGTAGCATACCGTCGAGGAGAAATTTTACGTACTTAATTTTACGATTTATATACATGTAGGCCATAGTGTTCTCCCATGTCTCATAAATAGTCAAAATCATAGTTGGCATCCCCTTTCTTATTAAATGTATGTAAAACTTTTGATTCTCCTATGTATAGTTAAGTAGCTCTTTAGAACCGAACAAAGTTGACCTACTGTAGAATTCTCGAATTTTAAAAGATGTTTGGAGCAAACTTTGCTATACTTTAGAACATAGTTATGCTTGATCAAATTGTCAGTGCGATTATAGATGAGAATGGTGAGTGAACATCACTACGATGTTTTATGCTTTTTTACCTCTGCCAACTTCTTAGCTATATGCCGCTCCCCACCCCCCAGGAAACCTGGAGGTCTGCTTGCGCATCTACCCCCCTAACATTATCAAGGCATAACCCAATGCCGAGAACATTTTAACTGATGAAGTTAGTGTCCCAACTTCATCAAGAACTTGAGGAACTATTTTTCTTTTGTTGGGTATGTAGAAGTCCAACTCCCCTGCTCTTTGTATTCTCATTATCTGGTTATTAATTTCTTAAATTGTGATGTATCTGACTTTTGGCTGTTAAGAAACATTTAATGCAGTTAATGCTGAAGTTGTGGCTGCTTTCTACAGGCAATTCCACCTTTATTGCTAAAGCTATTGGCTGAAGCTTTTCAGACCA